TTCATCATTATCAGTGGGAAGGGAGGGCTGTGTCTGAACACACAGACCAACATCATGATGGAAGCTGTGAAGACTGAGGAACATCAAAAGGATCCTGAGGACAACAGTCTGTCCCAGTTCCCATCAATGAGAGGCTTCTCTAAATGTGGGGATTGTCCCCACACCTTCGCACGACAGTCCTATAAATGCAGGCTGCCTCCTCATCTCTACCCACTGAGCTCCTGCTCACCAATCCTCCAGGTGACCCTCAGCCATGAAGACACTTGTCCTCCTCTCTGCTGTTGTCCTGCTGGCCTTCCTGGCCCAGGCTGATCCTCTGCCAGCACCAACTGAGGAGACTAAAACTGAGGAGCAGCCAGGGGTAGAGGACCAGGATGTGTCCATCTCCTTTGGAGGCCCAGCAGGGCTTTCTCTTCAGGATGCAGGTGAGTGGTGGTGCCCAGTAGGATGCAGGCCTGGAGTCTCCTGAGAGAGGGTTGAAGGTGTGGCCTGGAATCCCAGCAAGAGTAGTCTGCTGGAGGTAATTGTTTCTGCTCATCTCTCGGATATTCACTGTCATATCATAGAAGTAACAGTGAGAGTCAAAAAGTTTACCTGATTTTCTTTTTTAAGTTTTTTTGATCTAAAAATTATCTGTGGAATAGATTAAAAATATAGAACATATTGATTAGTACTTTTTTATACCTGATAATTTTGTTGTAGAAATAAAAATCTTCTTTGCTTAAAAGAATAGATTTAGGAACCATTTACCAATGCATGAATGTGTTGGGTTAGGAAAACACACAAAAACGTGAAGGACTGTGAAATGGGTGTTGAGTCCTGCATGGGATCAACACTTGTTAAATGTCTTATTTTCAAGTGTTTGAAGTGATCATGGGGCTGGCTGTGATGTCACCAAAAACAACAGACCTACTCTGTGCCCTGCACAGTGGATAAACTATCGCACATGGCTACCTCCTTACTTAATGCCTGATGCTCTCGCTGTGTCCTCAGGCTCAGGAAAGTTCTTGACATGCTACTGCAGAAAATCCTGCAAATTTTTTGAACGTGTCAACGGAATCTGCTCCAAAGGTCCAAAACGCCGCATTTTCTGCTGCAGCTGAGCATGGAGACCAGAGACAAGATGACCATGTATTCTGAAACCTCATGACCTCTCATTACCCTTATACTGAGCCTCAATTGTTTTTCCTTCTCCAATAAATTTCTTGCAGAAAAAAAAATATGTTTTTGTATCTCTTTGATGTTTTCTATGTGGCTTAGTCAGGTCAGGACTCCTCCCACTCACACAGCAGAATCTTCAGTGAGTTACAAAACAAGTCTTGGTTACATTTTAACAGTCAAATCAAGGACAAACAGAAGGTCAGCTACAAAGTGACAAGACACCAGAACGATTAGCTCTAGATGCTTCTCTTGTCTTTCAATTCTATTTAGTTCTTTAGATTAGGCTGCCATCAAAAATGTGTCCCACATTTTTAGGATCCATTTTTTAGTTGAAGGACATTCATGTTTTGCCATTTTCTACCTTTTGTGGACACAGCAGCAATGAACATGATTGAGAAAGTGTCTGTGGAGTAGGATACTGTGTCCTTTGGGAATTTGTCAAGGTACAGCTGTGCCATGGAGACTTACTTACAATCCCCTGAGAATTCTCCACTCCGGTTTCCATGATTTCTGCACCAGATTGTAATCCCACCAACAGTGAAGGAGGGTTCTGCTTTCCCCATACCCTCGCCTACATTTGTTTTCAGTTGTTTTCTTGATCTTGACCATTCTGCCTTGGGTTAAATGATGCATTTGACCCACATTTAATTAGCATTTCTTAACTTAAGAATGTTGAAGATCCTTTCCCAGTCTGTAGGCTGTTGGTTTTTTCTGAAGACAGTGTCCTTTGCATTAGAGAAGCTTTTCAGTTGCATGAGGTCCCATTTATTGATTGATGACCTTAGAGCATGTACTGTTGGTATTCTGTTCAGGAAGTTTTCTCCTGTGCCAATGAGTTCAAGACTCTTCCCCACTTTTTCTTCTAAGCGATTTAGTGGGTCTGGTTTTATATTAAGTTCATAGATCCACTTGGACTTTAGTTTTGTGAGAAATATGGATCTATTGGCGTTTCCCTACATGTAGATATCCAGTTAGACCAGCATCATTTGGTGAAGATGCTCTATTTTCCATTGTATGGTTTTGGCTTCTTTGTCAAACATCAAGTATCCGTAGTTGGGTGGGTTTATTTCTGGGTCTTCTATTCGTTTCCATTGATCCACCATTCGGTTTCTATGCCACTACCATGGCGTTTTTATTACTATTGCTCTGTAGAACAGCTTGAGACAAGACACCAGAGGTATTAGCTCTAGCTGCTTCTCTTATCTGTCAACTCTATTGTTCTTCAGATTAGATTCGCCATCAGAAATATGTCCTATATTTTTTGGATCCATTTTTTAGCTGAAGCATATTCAGGTGTTTGCCATTTTCTACTTATTGTGGACACAGCAGCAATGAACATGATTGAGAAAGTGTCTGTGGAGTAGGATACTGAGTCCTTTGGGCATTTGCCAAGGTACAGCTGTGCCATGGAGACTTACTTACAATCCCCTGAGAATTCTCCACACTGGTTTCCATGGTTTCTGCACCAGATTGTAATCCCACCAACAGTGAAGGAGGGTTCTGCTTTCTCCATACCCTCGCCTACATTTGTTATCAGTTGTTTTCTTGATCTTGACCATTCTGCCTTGGGTTAAATGAGGCATTTGACCCACATTTAATTAGCACTTCTTAACTTAAGAATGTTGAAGATCTTTTCCCAGTCTGTAGGCTGTTGGTTTTTTCTGAAGACAGTGTCCTTTGCATTAGAGAAGCTTTTCAGTTGCATGAGATCCCATTTATTGATTGATGATCTTAGAGCATGTACTGTTGTTGTTTGGTTCAGGAAGTTGTCTCCTGGGCCAATGAATTGAAGACTCTTCCTCACTTTTTCTTCTAAGCGATTTAGTAGGTCTGGTTTTATATTGAGGTCATAGATCCACTTGGACTTTAGTTTTGTGAGAAATATGGCTCTATTGGCGTTTCTCTACATGTAGATATCCAGTTAGACCAGCATCATTTGTTGAAGATGCTCTATTTTCCATTGTATGGTTTTGGCTTCTTTGTCAAATGTCAAGTATCCGTAGGTGGGTGGGTTTATTTCTGGGTCTTATATTTGATTCCATTGATCCACCATTCTGTTTCTCTGCCACTGCAATGGAGTTTTTATTGCTATTACTCTGTAGAACAAATTGAGATCAGGGATGGAGATACATCCTGACAATCTGTTGTTGTACAGGATTGTTTTGGCAATTCTGGGTTTTTGGTTTTTCCATAAGAAGTTGAGATTTATTCTTTCAAGTTCCATAAAGAATTGTGTTGGTATTTTGATGGGAATTGCATTTCA